CCTTCCTCTAAATGATAAGGTTTTTACACGAGCAGATTAATTTTTTTTTTTTTTTTATATAATTTTTTTTATAAAATTATAAGATGCTCGTGCAAAAACATGCGAGCATTTCAACAGTGCTCGTGTGAAATCAGATGAGCACTGTTGAAATGCTCGTGTGTTTTTGCACGAGCACAAAAATTTAATTTTTTTTTTTTTTTTTTTTTTATTTTTAATTGGGTAGGAATAGTACAAAAGGTAAATAGTTATGGTAAAAAAGTAAAAAATCATGGTAAAAAAGTGCCTGAATGTTTAATTTGGCCTGCATATATCATTACCCTTACTTCATTTATTATCTTTCACAAAACCTTAATGATCAATACTGCCTACATCAGCATCAATAATAATCGACGGTTAGTTATTGACAAGTAGAAGTATATTTGCGGTGAAAATGATTTAAATATTAAATATTATTATATTTAACTAAAATATTCTATTTGTTTTTTGTTAAATAATTAAATATTCGAAGTAATTAAAACACACACACACAGTAAATTCTTCAGATATCACAGAAATTTCAGAACCGAGATCTAACCCCATTTATTCATCTCTCTCTCTCTACTCTCTCTCATCTCTCTCTCTCTATTGGCATGAAAAAGACGGCACCTTAGCTCTGTGCATCACTCACGAACTCAAGCCCGTATGAATCTCCTATTGCATCAATTTTTCGCATTGCATTTCCATTAATCATTCCATATAATCTGATAGAGATCTGTCCGGATCGATATTTTTTATTTAGTAAGCTTCTCGTACGTTTGATTTGCAGTGATTTTTTATTTATTTATTTGTTTTTTTCTGATGGAAATTTAATTTTGTTTTGGTTTTCTCGATTGAAATGTTTTGCAATGTTGCTGTTGTGCTTCTGTTAATGCATTTGTGTGATGAATTTTGTATGTTTTGGGAAGCTTTGGTTTTGGAGATCTGCCTTCAGGGAGCTGTGATTTCGATCAATTAATTGAAGGGAATTAAATTTTGTTTCTGTTAAGCATTTTCTTATGTGTAGATTTGATTTTTTATGGTTATAATCTAGGGAAAGAGTTGTAAATGGTGAATTATGCTATTTGAGAAAGGAATCTATGTGTTATCCAACTTCTATCGAACAGTATGTAATAAGTCGTACCCATAATTACCAATAACTTGCTATTAATTTGGCTGATTAGTGAAATTAAGCAATTACGTGCCTAAGATGTTGTTAGATAATATTATCGACTAGATTACAATGTTCTCGATCTAAAGTTTACTCCAAAAACTCTTTATTTCTGCAAAAATATTGGAGCTAATTGTAAATCTTGCTTGCAGTTTGATTACCCCTGTAATTTTATTCTCGATTAACAGTCTACCGGACCTTCGAATATCGTAGTTCTAATAATTACAACTAGACTTCGAAAACAATGGGTGGGTAGGTGATAATATAGCAGCAGATTTTTTGTCGGTAGAAATTATTGTTATTCGTAGATTGTCATTAAAAGAATATCCTGAAGTTCAAAGCGAATTGCCTCCAATACATGTGATTGTGTTGAATATCTCACTTCTCTTTACTTCTGTATGCAGTTTAAGTTTAATTCCCTCACTAAATTTTGTGCAAAAAAAATAGTTTCAGTTATTGATTATACGGTTTTCTTGATGTGGCATAACCTATCAAATTAGTGTTGCTTAAGGAAACAACATTGCATCAGCTCTTTGGGACAGTATCCAGTAACTCTCTTGGAACTTGGGATATACTTTACTTAATCTATTTACTATTACCAGTGTTCTAAAAATCGGCCGAGGCGGCCGATTAATCGGTCTCCGAGGCGGAGGCGGTCCAAAACCTTTACGATTTTAGTGTAAAGGTTTGAAAAATCGGTTTTTTGCCTGTGAGGCAGTTTTAGGCGGTCTGAGGCGGTCCGAGGCGGTCAAACCTTTAAGGCGGGTCAAACTCGGTGGCAAAAATCGGTTAAAAATCGGTTTTTTTTTTTTTTTTTTTTTTTTTTTTTTTTTTAAATTTAAAATAAAAGTTGGATTTTAATAAAAAAAAATATGAGTTTTATGCCTTATTTTGTTTATGTTAATTGTTATTGTTAAAAACTAATGATGTATGCCAGGAATGTTCAAGAATAAATGTAAATTCAAAAAAATTGTTTTTTTATTTATATTTTATAAGGATATTTATGTATTATGACTTATGATTATTAAACTTTTATTATGTTATTAGGATATATACATGATGGAGATATAACTATGTTTAAATATCTTTTTATATATGTTTGGAGTATTTATAAATAATATTTAGAAATATATTATATTAAATTTTAAAAACCGATTTATTTCCGATTTATCACCGATTAATCACCGCCGCACCGATTAATCATGAGTCGGTGCCTGGCCGACTCGGACCCGATTACCGCTTTTTATAACCTTGACTATTACACGTTTGATAAACATATCTGACAGAATTAACGTAAGAGATCATCTTTTTAGTGAATAATTTTGTATTCTAGGCATCTTTACTGATGGGAGTTCTTTGGTTTTTTATGAACCTAGTTCTAATAAATGGGATTTATCCTGGAGTTCCTCATGAAGTTTCCGTTGATGTTGCAGATAATTTCACAGTCCAGTATTACCTAAATTGTAAAGAGTGCGATTTCACAGTCATTCAAACTCCAAAGTCTCAATTATGAGATCATCTTTTCAATCATAAGGTCCAAATTTTGAGGTAGTAGAAGAAGTTGAAGATTTCTCGAGTACTATTGAATTTATATAAATGACGAGGGGACGAGCAGATGGAGCGCAAAAGAAGCGACTGTTGACTTCTCTTTGCATTGTGGCTGTATTTCTTGTTTTTCTGTATGTCTATTTTGGCTCCAAGAATTCTGGCGAGTCTGCTTTAGAGTATGGCAGCCGTTCTTTGAGAAAACTAGGTGGTTCTTATTTGGCCGGAGAAGAAGATTCCGATATTGGCGGTAAACAGGATGAATCTTCAGTCAAGCTTGCCCTAGATGAAGGTGAGGATGGTATCACTCCAAAGAGCTTCCCTGTAAGTATTTCCGTTACTTACAAACGTTTCTGTGTACTGTTCTCTTGTTATTTTACTTGATGATTTAAAAAAAAAAAAATCTGATTCCGTTTTATTCTTAAGGTATGTGACGATCGCCACTCAGAGCTGATTCCCTGTCTGGACAGAAATCTTATTTATCAGATGAGATTGAAGTTGGATCTATCTGTGATGGAGCACTATGAAAGACACTGCCCACCACCTGAAAGGCGGTTCAACTGCTTGATTCCTCCTCCCCCTGGATACAAGGTGAGTGCTTCGAGTTGTAATTTATGCATTTTTTTTTAAAGTGAAAATTGTGATGAATGTTCTTTTGATTTGTGTGGTTTTTTTTTTTTTTTCTCTCCTTATTTGTTGAAATCACAGATCCCAATCAAGTGGCCGAAAAGTAGAGATGAAAGTTGGAAGGCAAACATCCCTCACACTCACCTAGCACATGAGAAGTCTGACCAGAATTGGATGGTTGTTAGAGGAGATAAAATTCATTTTCCTGGAGGAGGCACCCATTTTCACTACGGAGCAGATAAATACATTGCTTCAATTGCAAATGTAGGTTTTATCATTTCATAATCAACCCGAGTAGAGTAAATGATTAGTTCGTCTAGCTTAAGAAAACTTTAAGTTCTGTTTCTGATTCTGCTTTCATTTGGCAGATGCTTAACTTTCCAAATGATATCTTAAACAACGAAGGAAGATTGCGCACGGTTTTCGACGTTGGCTGCGGTGTGGCAAGTTTCGGCGGTTACCTTCTTTCGTCCGATATCATTGCAATGTCGCTAGCACCAAACGACGTGCACCAGAATCAGATCCAATTTGCTCTTGAGAGAGGAATCCCTGCATATCTTGGTGTTCTTGGTACAAAGAGGCTTCCATATCCAAGCAGATCTTTCGAACTTGCTCACTGTTCTCGTTGTAGAATCGACTGGCTGCAAAGGGATGGAATCCTTCTTCTTGAGTTGGACAGGCTGCTTAGACCCGGAGGCTACTTTGCCTACTCATCACCAGAAGCTTATGCTCAAGACGAAGAGGATTTGAGAATATGGAAGGAAATGAGTGCTCTTGTGGAACGTATGTGTTGGAGAATTGCTGCGAAGAAAAATCAAACTGTTATTTGGCAAAAGCCTTTAACGAACGACTGTTATTTGGAAAGAGAACCTGGTACACAGCCACCTCTCTGTCGATCTGATGATGACCCTGATGCAGTTTGGGGTGTATTAATGGAGACGTGCATTACACCTTATTCTGAGCGTAAGTGTCTTCCTATGTTTTAGCTACGCATGCATAGGAACATATTATTACCTTATTGCAAGTTCATTGCTAGGATATATATATAATGTAGCTTAAAAAAGTTCTCACATATTAATCGATGGGTAATTCTTATCACTTCCAAAAATTGCATTTCAGCATACTCCACAACAATGTTGCATTTAGATATTTCTTCAGATACGACTTCCTAATTTATTTATTTCTCATAACCAGATGATCACAAAACAAGAGGCAGTGGGCTCGCACCATGGCCTGCCCGATTAACTACTCCACCCCCACGCCTTGCTGATTTTGGCTATTCGAACGAAATATTTGAAAAAGACATGGTAAATTGACAATACGTGTTGCCATATAATCTTATCTTGTGCTATCTTATCTCATGCATATGAAACTCTGTGCTAATGGTTGCAAACAGGAACTTTGGAGTCGAAGAGTCGACAATTATTGGAGTCTATTGAGCCCGAAAATCTCGTCTGACACTATAAGAAACGTGATGGATATGAAGGCACATTTGGGTTCATTTGCAGCTGCCTTGAAAGACAAAGATGTATGGGTAATGAACGTTGTACCAGAAGACGGACCGAAAACACTCAAGATTGTTTACGATAGAGGATTGATCGGCTCCGTTCACAGCTGGTATTTCAATTAATTATTATTTTTGCATAATTTTCCGACATAATATTTTATTTGTAAATATTTACGTGGGAAATTAATACAGGTGTGAGGCATACTCCACATACCCTAGAACCTACGATTTGCTCCACGCATGGACTGTGTTTTCCGACATTGAGAAGAAAGGTTGCAGTGGTGAAGATCTTCTCCTCGAAATGGATCGAATTCTCAGGCCAACTGGCTTTGCTATTATTCGAGATAGACAATCTGTTATCGAGTTTGTGAAGAAGCATTTGGCTGCTCTGCACTGGGAAGCGATCACAGCCGTTGATTCGAATTTGGAGGATGGAGATGAAGCGGTGCTTGTGATCCAGAAGAAGCTCTGGTTGACAAGTGAAAGCTTCAGAGGTACTGACTAGATTGTTAATCCTTTTTTGATTTGTTTCAGCTATTCTTGGGATCTAAGAAGCATATCCTAAGTTTTTTTTTGTTTATTTATTTATTCTCTATTTTTCTGTTTTTTCTTAGTAATTTTTTTATTGGCTAAGTAGACAAAGCCCTCTATTTCATAGGCTATTCTTGATATATTGTAAAAGTTTATTGTTGGGAATTGCTGCTGCCACTCTAAAAATGCTTAATAATTCTGAATTACATATTTTTCTGCTGATATATTTCACCTTTTTGTCCTTTTATTTTTGGTAAATTTTTATTTTGACCCCAAAGATTTAAACTTTTATGAAATAATTAAAGTTTCTACCCGATTTTGCTTTAAAAATGCCGAAAGAAAATCGCAAGTGTTGGAGTTTTGGGCCATGATGCTTTGATTAATTGTGCTATGAGGCTTAATTACAATTATAACATGAGTTACACAATTAAATAAAGCCCAATACATGGAAAACCCATCGAAGATGACTATAAATACTCGACTCCATTGGACCATTATTCATTTGAGGTAAATATTTTTCTTAACAATTTAGTGAACTTTCTACTATACGAAGAATATCCCTGCTAACTTGATTGTCGGGTCAATCCCGACGAATCACCTAGTGTTTGCCTTAGTTTTGTCGATTGTAGTGAAGAATTCTATGCTGCACGGCGACTGTCGCTTGACATTGAGATTGTAACCCCACATTCACCTTGAACATAATTTGTAAGTACGCTTAAGCAGCAATCAAATAAATTCTTTTTTGGCCACAATTATAATAATATTATTCAAGGGTAAATTACAATCACCCCCTGAGGTATGGTCAATTTACAAAAAAATCCCTCTTGTTTGGATAATTACATCTACCTCAGCTATGATTTTTTCTTAGAGTTAATTGCATTTACTACCCTTGTGAAATTCGTAACTGCACGATTCCCCCCTGTCATAAAAAAATTAGCAAATACCCCCCTATGCTTATTTTTAGAATGCACATTCGACCCATTTACTTTATTTCCATTGACCAGCTGTGAAATGACCAAAATACCCTGAGTAAGTTTGTTATATTACACGTTGGGAATTTTTCCATTTTATTTAATAAAATCTTAATTTTTATTTCTATTATAAACAAATACAATACACAAAATATTATTAAAATATAAATATATAAAAAGGAAAAGAAAAACTCACCTTTCCTGTTTGGCAAACAGTCGTCTTCCCCACACACACCGACCCACCCCACTCGATCCACAGTTCTTTACCCTCTATTTCTGCCGCTCTTGCTCCGCCATTACTGTCCGCCCTTCGTCCACCTTCGTCAAAGTGGGATTTTTTCTTCACCTCCGACATATGTCTGCAACACCACCTTCTGCAAATCCGCCACCCACAACCACCCCAATTCAACCACCAACAAAACACAAACATTACTTAACCCCCTCTCTCTCCTCGCCCTTCCTAAGCTAATCCTGCAATTCTCGGGGTCCAGAAATTTTGGAGAGGAAGAAGAGAAAACGAGTAGATAGATTAGGGGATAGGTTTAGGATTTTAATTAAGTTCTGGAAAATTGCAATTTAACCCCTACATTTGTTTTAAAAATTCAATTTAGTTCCTTACCTTTAAAAAATTTATGTTTAAGATCTGTATTTTTTTATTGCAAATAATCACAGGGTAGTTTTGTCCTTTCACAAGCAAAAGGGAAGAAAAAATCGCAAACGCGGCGAGTGAGCCGCACGATCAGCTCCAAGGGGGGTTTTCGCCTTTGACTAGTAAGCATAGGGGGGTATTTGCTAATTTTTTTATGACAGGGGGGAATCGTGCAGTTGCGAATTTCACAGGGGTAGTAAATGCAATTAACTCTTTTTTCTTACATCTCCACCCTTATGGTATCAAATTCAACATAATCATCTAGATTTCGTGAAATGTGCTCCAATTTGTACTCGTTTTGTGTTAAAATACAGTTTCTGATGCACCATATCAGATATATACAAGCTTAAAAACACATATTACGATCATCTTGCTTTATTGGAATTCGAATATGATAAAACGGGTACAAAAGTGATAATAATCAATATAATCTCGAAAATTCCACGAAATTTGAAACCGCAAGGGTGGACGTGTAAAAAGATTTATAGTTGAGGGATGGTTGTAATTATCTAAACAAGAGGGATGTGGATAAGGGGGTTTTTTATAATTTGACCATAATATAAATTTACCCTATTATTCAATTTGAGAACCTTCCTAGCTAAATGCGTATAATAGACAAACGGTTGAAACTTACACATGCAAGTTTATAGCCATGGACCCCTTCTTCCCACGTGCTAATCAATTAAGTAGACTTAAACATTCTTTTTTTTCTATATATTTTTTATTTATTTATTTTTACATTAAAAAAATTTCTCATGTTCAAATGCTGCAATTAAGGAAGCACTAAAGATTATTGTAATAATAATTATAATGCCACTTGTTATAAATTAGAAAGTACACTTGTTCGTATGCAATATTGTCCTAAGGCCATGCATCATTTATTTTATAATTGTTATACTAACTTCTCCTCCACTACATCACATTAAAAAATGAAATTAGATATAATTTTAATAATTAAAATAACAATTATGAATATTATTTAATAGAAAATAAATCAAAGTTTGGAGCACATGGAGTGCAACTGGGATCCATATGCTGGAAAATCAAATGGGAACATGCTATATATAACATCTGGTCCCCTATAAATTGTTCTTAACTCCATATGATTACATTTATTAAAAAGAAATCCAATAATATGTGGATTTATCGTAATTAGAAGGTGGTATTTACAAAAACTTATTTGAAATCAGAAGTTAGTGATTGTAATTTAAGTTTGTTTCAACTTACAAGTGTTTATTTGTAGAAGTTAGTGGTGTTTGCAAATACGCTGGAAAATCAACTTAAATTGAAAAGGCATGACAATATGTGCTTTTAAAATTACAGCTTATAAGAACTTATTTCAAGAGTAGTAAGAATAAAAGTTAATTATACAAACACCTTAAAACAGATTATAAGCTCACAAAAAATTCATAATCTATTTTTAAAAACTTTTGCAAAAGCTAATTATTGAAAGTTCATTAGCTAGTGCAATCTAGTTGAATGATATCAAAAGCTAGTCTCCCTCGAATGCCTTTTACTTTCATTTGCTTGTCCATAAAGTTCCATTGATGGTCCCAATTATGCCCTTGATTATGGTGAACCCCTACAATACATAATTGACCATTGTTGTGGGCCAAATTGGAACCAAATTTTATCATTTTTATTCTTTTTTATTTTTTCAATTACTTTATAAGTGATATGTGAATCCAAGTTTTCATATTTATATACATTTAAAACTAAGAGTTTTATAAGTTAGACATCAAGGGGGAAATATTGAAGAAAACATTCCTGACGAAGCAATAGGGGAGTGAACAAGTCGAGCTCGAGCTCGAACTCTAGCTAAGCTCATTTTAATTAATTTATTTATTATTAAAAATTATTTATATTATAATTAAAAAAATATACAATAAGCAATGAAATGGAGTTATAAAAAGAAGCATCGTCAGCCGACTCGTGAATTCATCAACAACTAAGAAAATGCTCGATCTCGACTCGTCAAAAATTAGCTAGCGTATATTATTTTTCTCTACATTATCGAGTTACGAGTCGAATCGACTCGTTTACGATCCTTAAGTGTAACCACAATTCATTACAACAACTACAATTAATGCACTAAACAACCAATAGAAAAAAGAAAAAGAAAAAGAAAAAAAGGAAATAAAGTTTTTAATTTGACAAAGATTTCCAATTGCCAAAAAAAGAGAAACTAAAAAGGAAAAAGAAAACCCCCCTCTCTCTCTCTCTCTCTCTCTCACACACACACACACTTTCTCTCTCTACCATTACAGACAGTCTTGTTCTTCAACTAACTTTCTCTCTCTAAAAATTTGGGTCAAAATTCAGTCTCGTTTTCTATACCTCGCTTTTACTCCGCGGTTCAGATATTGCACAGTAGATTTTTCACTCGTTAATCTTCAGTTTTTCTGGATGCGAGAACCGGCGACGCAGCTCTGAAGGTGAAACTTTGACTTTTTCTTTTGCTGCTTTTCGATTTGGGGGAATTTTTTTTTTAATTTTTTATTTTGCTTCGATCGGTTTTTTAGGTCAGTTGTGCTGCAGGAAATTTACTTTGCTATAAATGTTACTTAAATTTGTATCTGAACAAGTACTTATATTTCCCCTTTTGGTGGTATGCAGAGTGATGGGAATTATTGTCGCATTTTGTCCTTTGAGTACTTTTGGTTTCTTCATGTTCTTCGTTTGATTTGACCTTCTGTCGTTTGATTTGAGCGATTAGTGTAATCAATCATGTGTTCCTCTTTGAATTTTTGCTATGATTTAGTAACATGTCGTGGATTTGTTAATTCTGTTTTCATATTCAAATTTTAGATTTAAGTTTAGAAGGTTGATTAGCAATGTTTTTGTAGTTAATTAAGAAATAATTGTGGCAGAGCAAAAAATTTAAAGTGATCGTAGTAACTGAAAATGGAAACATAATCATTTACCGTCAGATGATCAGATTATGGAAGCTTCGATTGAATTATTCTACTGTTACCAACCAAAGAGGATTTTCTCGACTTATGAAAGAAGATTTCCGACATCTCTTTGATTTACTGCGTTTGATTTGTTTCTTTATCCGTCATTGACGATGTAGGTTCTTTCAAATGTCCGGATGATTTGATTGTGTAACTGATGTACCACAAGCTTGATGTTGAAGGAGGAAAATTATTTACGACACCTATCTGTAGTAGTAGCACTGTTGTTCGTGTCTGACTTTTGACAAGCAAAAGGGTGAGGTAGATGGAAACCGCTAAGCGTTGGTTCGGAAAATTTCAAGCAAAAGAGAAGCCTAGGACTTCAAGCAACAAGAATGAATCTAGGCCTAATGGAAAAGAAGGTTCGAAGACACCATTAAATGAGGAAACCCCTTCAAATGCAACTCAGCAGAAGGTAGCTGCTGCCAAGCAGTATATAGAAAATCATTACAAGGAACAAATGAAGAGCTTGCAGGAAAGGAGGGAGCGGTATGACTTCTTTTCCCTTTTCCATTTTGTTACGACGATTTTTTGTTCGATAATGTGCTTGAGTCGTTATTTTTTTTCTTTTCATTTTGTAGTTTCAAATTGCTTAATGATTTTATGTTGTTTCTTCCAAATCGATGTTATGAATGATAATCTCATCTTCAGTTTTTTGGTTTCTTACTTACCAATGTAAAATTAGGATTTAGGAAGTCTACAGATTTGGCACCATGTATATTTACTGAAAGAGGTTATCTCCTTTTTACCCTTGACTGTTCTTTTTTTGTTGGCAACAAAAATACCGAAATTAACCTTCCAAACTATTGTGTTCTTTTGCATGACTTATGTGTACAATGACTATTCACAAAGCATATCTTCTAGCCATCCTTAACTTTGGTGTAGATAAAGACTTATAGTCATCTGTGCATCTCAATGTTCCATCAGAATCTTTGACATTTTTACCTTTTTTGAGTACACTTTCTTTCAGATATATTTGCTCTTTGCTGGTTAACATGAACAATAAACTCTAATAAGAAACACGCCCGCAAACAGAAAACCATGCTTCATCTCTTGTACATCAGAGAAGTGCTTTTCAGAGTAATATCCCTCTGAGACTAATCAGAGTTCTGAATTGCACTAAGATTTGTGTATTTGCAAACGCTCAAAAGAAACATTGTTTTAGTGCTCCAACTTGTTAACTTTTATGTATCAAAGTTTGAATATATTGGGATTTGGAGGTGCTCTAACCTCGGGTAAATATATCTAATAAAAGCACAGTCCAATAGTACCTTAAACGGCAAATATTTCGTTTCCTTGTAGGCGTGATATGCTTGAGAAGAAACTAGCGGATGCAGAGGTCACTGAGGAAGAGCAAAGTAACCTTTTGAAGTACCTAGAGAAAAAAGAAACAGAGTATATGCGCCTTCAGAGGCATAAAATGGGTGCTGATGATTTTGAGCCATTAACCATGATTGGAAAGGGTGCATTTGGGGAGGTTCTCTCTCTAACTCCTCCGACTTTATATAAGTATTATGTTTATACTATAATGCCAAAGTGGATACTAGATTTCCAAGATATATTCAGTTGGTTAGCTCATATATATGTGCATCCATTCCTTCAAAAGAACGTCCAGTTTCTAGAGTTATGCTCGAACTGAATATTGCCTTTTATTGAACTCTACATAGGTATTTAAATCATAATGCAGGGTGGATCACTCCTTGTACTGAGCCTTCTTAGTCACGCTTCCCTTTCCATCAGCCGAGCCGACAAAAAGAAAATCTCTTAGTTGGATTTTTATCTAGTTTGCCTAGACTGATATTTAGTTCACTTGTTCTTCTAGAGAGATAAACTTGTAGGAAATACTAGCTTATGATGCTGATTGCCATTATTTCCAGTTAAGATTTTTTCTTTTTTGCATTTATCAACTTCCACTTTTGCCCACTGCAGGTCAGGATCTGTAAGGAGAAGTCAACTGGCCATGTTTATGCCATGAAAAAGCTTAAAAAGTCTGAAATGCTACGAAGAGGCCAGGTATAAATAAATTTACCATTTCAACAGAAGTCTAATTATCTGGAGTTTCTCTGTTGTGCTTATTCCTTATTATCCTCATTCCATTTATCTAGGTTGAGCATGTAAAAGCAGAAAGGAACCTACTAGCGGAAGTTGACAGCAATTGCATTGTTAAGCTTTATTGTTCTTTCCAAGATGAAGAGTATCTTTATCTAATAATGGAATATCTTCCCGGTGGAGATATGATGACTTTACTGATGCGTAAAGATACATTAACGGAAGATGAAGGCAGGTTCTATGTAGGGGAAACTGTTCTTGCTATTGAATCTATCCACAAACACAGTTATGTTCATAGGTATGTTCGAATGGTTCGATCAGAATGCCCTAGATTCTTGTCTTGGTATCTTTAGATTTGTATCTGATTTTATTTTTCTTTTGGGAATATTTTTCAGGGACATCAAGCCTGATAACTTGCTTCTTGATAGAAATGGACACATGAAGTTGTCTGATTTTGGATTATGCAAACCGTTGGATTGCAGTAATATTCAAGAAAACGATTTTTCTGTAGGAAATAACTACAGTGGGGCTCTTCAAAGGGATGGGCGCCCAGCAGTACCGAAACGCACTCAACAGGAGCAACTGCAACACTGGCAGCGGAATAGGAGGATGCTTGTAAGTTTCCTACCCACCATGCATAAACTCATTCCCATCCCTAAATACCTCAAAACATCTCCCAGAATGAATTTTCGTTTTGCGAAACCCTTCTTCGTTTTTATATCTCAGTGCACATTTTTATATTCTATCTATTTCTCAGTATAAGTACATTCTCAACCATTAACTTCCATTAGTTTATGAAAAGAGGTATGCAGTAATTTTTCAGTTTTTCTTTCTCCGAACATTCACCTATACCACCACCTTCAAGATACATTCTCCAATAGGCTATGCTGATATTTCATATTCAATCATATTTTCAATTATATTCCTAACATTGAAAAAAATTTAATCGTTCTCCGAATGTATTCTCTCGTAAAAGTCATTCCCAATTCACTCTCAAAACACCCAAAATATTTAACATAGTCAAGCATTAGCGTCACTTTTCCTTTTTTGAAATTGTCATCCTCTTCCTAGAATCTCATTTCTGGATCTTGACAAGGGAAAAGGGGATCAATGTCTTGTCCATTTTTATGTCTTGGATCCATAGTTTCACTGAATTACCGGTATAATTGTATAAGAGATGCCATCCTTTTTTAGAAGAATGTTTTCTGTTGCAAGGCCAGCACATAATTTTATGTTGAAAGTCCTCTATATTTTTATTATAGGCATATTCAACTGTTGGTACACCTGATTATATTGCTCCAGAAGTTCTGCTCAAGAAAGGATATGGGATGGAATGCGATTGGTACGTGTTACATCAATATTTTACTTTCCATCTGAAATTAGGATATAGTTATTCGTCTGATTTGAGACTGTCGTCTGGACTGTGGGTATATATGCCTTAGGTGGTCTCTGGGGGCAATTATGTATGAGATGCTTGTGGGGTATCCACCATTCTATTCTGACGATCCCATGACTACATGCAGAAAGGTGATAATGAATTCCTTACTACATTCCTTTTCGTATTGAAATGCAGTTACTGTTGGTTTTCTATTTAATATGTTAGTGTTGAATACCATATGCCAAATACATGTTTTATTATTAAGGCAAACGCCAAATAAAGTTGGAAATAAGAAGAAAAAAAAATCGTGTTGGGGAAAAGACTTGGACTAGCTTCCCTTGTATTAGACTTCTCTTCACAGATGACCTTTTTACCCTGTCTCGACTTCATTGTCGTTTTGATGTTTACAGTTTACTCTTTTGCTTTGGTGCAGATAGTGAACTGGAGAACGCATTTGAAATTTCCGGAAGAGGCAAAACTATCAGTAGAAGCCAAGGATCTTATATGTAAACTCTTGTGCAATGTAGAGCAAAGGCTCGGCACAAGGGGTGCCGACGAAATTAAGGTGCTTTGCACTGATTTAATTTGGAATTTTCAAAATGCTGTACTGTTCTAGTAAACTGTCAACTTAGATGTTTCGACCATCTTTCCAGGCTCACCCGTGGTTCAGAGGTGTAGATTGGAATAGATTATATCAAATGAAAGCTGCATTTATTCCAGAAGTTAATGATGAAATGGATACTCAAAACTTTGAAAAGTTTGAAGAGGTTTTCTCAGTTTCCAGTTTACGCATATCTCTTGCGTTCTTAACTTTTCATTTCTTTTCCTCATTTTCTTGATTTTTTTTCGCAGCCCGACAGTCAAGCCACATCAGCAACGAAATCAGGGCCTTGGAGGAAGGTGGGTACATATTGCCATTAACATTTTGTGCTACCAATCTATTTATATAAACTGAAATCTTGATTGTTCGTGGAAAATCTTGGTTTTAACGACTGAAAGAGTTGCAACGTTTGAGTAAAGACGGTTGCTCGTTAATTAGGAGAACTTGATTTTTTATTTTTTTTGCTTTCTGTAATTGGATGTTGAGTCGAGGTACCGATTGTAATCGTCACTAGTGAAGCTTTATTACGATCTTAATTCTTGAGTAAATTCATGAGGGTATATTACAATCACATCTAATCCTTATTTCTTTCATGCCAGCAGATGATTCCATCGAAGGATGCGAATTTCGTGGGTTACACCTATAAGAACTTTGAAATTGTTAAAGATCACGAAGTCCCGGGAATAGGTATGTATACATATCGTATTTTTTTTTTCTACCTATTTTCGGAAAATTACAAATTACTTGCTGTTCTAAATATGGTCTCTTTCTACTACCAGCTGAACTGAAGAAGAAGAGCAACAAACCGAAGAGGCCTACTGTCAAGTCCCTCTTTAGTACGACTCGTTTCTTCCCCTCTACTAATATAGAGAGTTTTGTATATAATGCTCGTTTTCTTACATCTTTCGAACTTTAACATGTGACAGATGAGGAATCGAATTCGGCATCCACTCAATATGGACAAGGAAGTTTCCTTAATCTGTTACCGCCCAAATTAGATACCTCAAAATCACACGAATACTGAAGCTCAACCGTTATGTTTAATAGCTTCCGACAACTGTTGTAAAGCGTACAACCGGGATTTTTTTTATTTTTTTTTCGGTATCGTTGTAAATATCTTATTTTTTGTATCCTTGTCATAGTTGATGTCTGTAATTTTTTTTTTCAGTTGTCAAGCTGTAGAAGTTATTGATTTGTTGTTGTTCATATGATCAATTTAGACAAAAGACAAAGAAAAAGATTAATTTTGAGAAATTGATGTATTGTTTGACAGATTTTCCTTTGTCAATTTCATGTTTTGATATTATAATTTGTCATACTTAATTGTGTTTTAAAAATAAATTATTGAGAGAAAATAATATTAAAAATAAAAAGCAAATAGCATCTAAATGGGAATTTCTGGAAGAAAATAAAAGAAAAAGGGAAAATAAGGATTGCTTTTCTTGATAAGTCGCTATTAAGGAAACACGCTTTTTTTTTTTTTTTTTTTTTTTTTTTCTATTTTGTATAATTTCTTTCCACACGCGTATAAGTTCATTCTCTCTCCTCTACCATTCATCGAAAATTCAACATGCAGGTAATTTAAAATTAAAAACCCCAATCAGAAACCCTAATTTTCACTTTCTCTTTTGTATATTTTCTCGTTGATCTTCATCGTGTTTGTCTGCCATTGTTGATTATGATGTAGGCGAGTGACAGGTTTAATATAAACTCCCAGCTTGAGCATCTGCAGGCCAAATATGTCGGCACAGGGCACGCCGACTTGACTCGATTGTAAGTACTTCTACTCAATTTTTGAAAAAAAATAAAAAAATAAAACCATGTTTGTAATAGAATTTTAGGGTTGATTATTTGTTGATTTTCTGTTTTTTCTTGTGAATTTTTTGTTTTTTTGGTTACAGTGAATGGGCTGTGAATATCCACCGAGATAGCTACGCGTCGTATGTCGGGCATTATCCGATGTTGGCCTACTTTGCCGTTGCGGAAAATGAATCCATTGGGAGAGAGCGCTACAATTTCATGCAGGTTTTTTACTTTATCCCTTTTTGTGTACTGTATGTTTTTTTTCTTTATTTTTTAATTTTTAGTTTTTAATTTTTAATTTTAGGCACTTTATTTGGTGTTCGTGATTTTAATTGTTATTCTTGTCCTTTGGTACTTGAATTGCATGTGTATTGTATGGGGCTGTAAATTTGTTTTGTGAAAAGTTCTGATTTACATTGTTTGTTTTGATGACCGAACACATCGAATCATAAGAGATATTCTATGTCAAACAATTTAATCAGAACTCTTCACAAGCTTCTGCAACGTTTTTGGATAAGTAGTTCGTACGACATTACATATGCTGCTTGGGTCAGTGCAAGGATCTTTTGATTAACATGAGTGCGGTTTTATTCACATAAGCGTTTTAAAGTTTGCGCGAACTGACACGGGAAAAGAAAATGGCTAGACTGGATGCCTGTTGTAAACTTCTCACCGACTATAAGTTTATAAAATAATATTTTACAGCTAGAGCAATGGATATAATTTTCTTATGATGACGGTTGTACGTCAAATTTGTCTATTTGACTGCCCGAGTCTTATTATATATTTAGGTGAAACGAAATATAAGTTGAGATGCTGTTAGGACAAACTGGGATTTTTACTCTATATAATGGTAAAACCAAAAACACATCATAGTTTCTAGGTTGATTTTGAAGCTTCCTTTGCATCATATTCTGTATTTTGACTTCTTCTGGTTCACGTCCTCCCAAAGTGCATTATCAAATTATAGTTAATGACTTTATCGACATCCCCACGGAATTTGCAATATTTTTGTGAAAAATATCTTATGTTTGACTAGTTTCACTTGATTATCAACCATATGAGGTATTCACATTTTTCGATGCGAAAGCATTTCTTGTCGAAAGAACATGATACTTCAATCAAGAGATTTATGCCAGCTTAATGCGTCGAAATTGCGTTCGTCATTTTCTATGGATCTGAATAATAAAAAAAACTGCTGCTCTGTGTACTTATCTTGTTGCTAGGGTTTACGAGATCCATTTTATGCTAATGTTTCATTGTGTTTTGATGTATATACAGAAAATGCTTTTGCCGTGTGGTCTTCCTCCTGAGAGAGAAGAGGAATGAAGTGACTTGTGAGATTATGGATTGGAGGCTATAAACGGCACTCATTCGGAAATTGTCTCCTAAGCAATGATTTTGCTTCTAATTGTTGTTGATCTTCATCCTACTGTAAAGATTTGATGCTTGTGTTTGAACTGTTTAAACATGCAATCGTTTAGTGTTTGTATTAACGTTGTTTCGTAGTACCTATAATTGTGATGTTGCGTCTTGTTACCTATGATGTGAACATAAACAATTTATTTCGAAATTTGCTTCCTTTCGGCGGATTAGTTTTAGATATAATTTCACAATATGATTTTAGCAGTGTAGAACGTTCCCTTTGAATTATAATTTAAAATACAGATAAATATTTATTTTCCTCAAATCATAATCTATTCATTAGTCATGTAATAACATAATATTTTGTAACATAATATTTGGTTTATTTGATGCTATATACCAAGTGAAATGTATTGGGTGATTATTTCGGGTTTCGGGTTTGATCTGCATATAATTGCACACACACATGCGTATGTGTGTTTACTGGGAAGCTATTTCACCACATCAATGATTAAAAATCACTCGGTGTATTTCACCGATGTAGCATCTCAATTTACGTGATTTCTAGCTATTTTTTGGCAGTCACTAGACACTTTGTAGGTCACTAGACACTTTTTACAGTCTTGTTTATAATGCATCAGAGTGAATCACAACATTTCACCTAACACACACACATATATCGACGAGTGTAAAACGGAATTGTCAATACACCGAGTATTAATTTATCGAAATTCTAGTGTACTTACTTTCAATTTAGAGAAAAATCAACCAACAAATATCAGTTACAAAAGTGGCTTTTTTGTTGTATTTACGGACACCCCTGAAGGTAAAATTTTCAGCTTGGCATTTACACAAACACCTGTATCGCTCTCAACAAAGTGGCCAAAGAACACCGCCAAGAATCCCATGAAAAGTTCGAGTCAGACCCTCAAAATCCTCTTGAGCAATCCGTCTCACATCAAAACGAGCTCCCAGGCCAAACAACTCCATGCCCAAACAATCAAACTCAGAGGAGATGGAGATATCTCATCTCCTCAATTCACCACCATCATTCTCTCTATCTACACCAACTTCAACCTCTTACAAGACTGCCTCTCACTCTTCAACGCCTTCCCCTCACCACCGCCGGCGAAAGCCTGGAAATCCATCATCAAATGCTGCGCTTCCACTGGTAATTTCATGGAGTCGGTTGATTTTTTCAAGAGAATGATTGCTTCGGGGAAAAGCCCAGATAGGAACGTGTTCCCTTCTCTGCTGAAAACCTGCGCCTATTTGGGCGACTTGCGGCTCGGTGAGTCTGTCCATGGCTGCGTGGTCAGGCTCGGTTTGGATTCTGACCTTTTCACTGGGAATGCGTTGATGAATATGTATGCAAAGATGGAGTCTTTGGATGCACGGAATGTGCTTGATGGTGGTTCTGAACCAAATGGATTTTTCAGTTTTAACAGTGATATGATCAAGACTGGATCTACACAAGTTTCTGAGGAAATGTGTGAAGGATTTCGTAAAGAAGTCGACATTTCGGATAAGAAGGGAGCTCTTCTTGTGGATAGTGTGAGGAAAGTTTTCGAGCTCATGCCGATTAGAGATGTCGTCTCCTGGAACACTGTTATTGGAGGATATGTGCAGAATAGGATGTACGAGGAAGCTTTGCTGACAGTGAGAGAAATGGGGAAGACGAATTTTAAGCCCGATTCCTACACTTTGTCTAGCATCCTTCCAATCTTTGCGCAGTATGTAGACGTCATCAAAGGAAAAGAGATTCACGGATACGCAGTTCGGCACGGTTTTGACAAAGATGTGTTCATCGGAAGCAGTTTGATCGATATGTACGCAAACTGTACACGGCTTGAAGATTCGTACACTATCTTCAGTTCATCTCCTCGGAAGGACAGCGTTTCTTGGAATGCCATGATAGCAGTTTGTGTCCAGAACGGCAGCTTCGATAATGGATTAAGACTTTTTAGGGAGATGCTGACAGCTGGCATAAAGCCCGTGGCTGTCTCGTTTTCGAGTATAATGCCGGCGTGTGCGCATCTGACGACGCTATGCCTTGGTAAACAGCTCCACGGCTATATTATCAGACGGGGATTTTTCGATAATATCTATGTGGCGAGCTCTTTAATGGACATGTACGCAAAGTGTGGCAACATAGGTGTTGCCAGGTGGATTTTTTATACTATGGAATTTCGTGATACTATTTCTTGGACAGCCATGATAATGGCTTATGCATTGCATGGCCGTGCGCATGACGCGGTTTTGTTGTTTAACGAAATGGTTGCAGATGGAATAAAACCTAATTCCGGATCCTTCCTCGCAGTTTTGACAGCTTGTAGCCACGGTGGATTGGTGGACGAGGCTCGAAAATATTTCAAGATTATGATGCGGGATTATTCCATTTCTCCGTGTGTAGAGCACTATGCCGCGGTTTCGGATGTTCTTGGTCGAACGGGGAAACTGGATGAAGCTTACGAGTTTATATCCAGCATGCATATCGAACCAACAAGCACCGTTTGGTCTATGCTGTTGTCTGCTTGTCGGGTTCACAAAAACGTTGAGCTGGCAGAAAAAGTTGCTGAACGAATATTAATAATCGACCCTCATCATGTGAGTGCTTATGTACTCTTGTCCAATGTTTACGTTGCTGCTGGGAGATGGAAAGATGCTGCAAAGACGAGGGTTTCTATGAGGAAGAAAGGGATGAAAAAGAAAACGGGTTGTAGTTGGATCGAAGTAAAGAACAAGATCCATGTTTTCATCTCGGGAGATGAAAACCACCCGGACTATCCGAAGATAAACGGAGCGCTCCACGAGATTATGGAGCGGATGGAGCTCGAAGGGTATATTCCAGATACGAACACGGTGCTGCATGACGTGGACGACGAGCAGAAGAGGTATCTGTTGTCTGTTCACAGTGAGCGTCTCGCGATAGCGTTTGGTGTGATTAGCACTCCTGCGGGGACCACGGTTCGTGTGACCAAGAATCTAAGGGTGTGCGTGGACTGCCACACTGCTTCGAAGTACATGTCCAAGATCTTGAACAGAGAGATAATCGTTAGAGATATCGTTCGATTTCATCATTTCAAGGATGGGAAATGTTCGTGTGGCGATTTTTGGTGAGACGAAGGCTATTTCGGTCATCTCCGTTCCCCTTACGGACATTTTTTCGTGGAAGGTTCTTGTTGTTATTGTTAGGTGTAAAAGTTTGAGACGAAACTATATTGCAATGGCTGAGCAATTTTGTACAAATTCGTGTTTGTAATCGTCTTTCCTTGGTTCGTTTAATTGATTAATCTCGGTAGGAACACGGTGTTAGCTTGATTTTCCCTGCATCAGTTTCCAACTTCACTAGAATATCGGTCGACCGTCGTTCCTGCAACATTAGGAAGGGTTTTCCAGCGTAAAAGCTCCAACTTAATCGATTAAGTTACTCCACATGTTCCACAATATCTCTGTCTTTTGAGAATTTCTTTTGTTTCATATTATCTGTCATTTTACAATTCCGATACTGCATTAATTATACATTTTTCAATTATACCCTTACTAACTCCCCAACACTATTTCTGCATTTATTCCTAAGTAAAGGTATTTTGGTCTATCAACATCTATTTTTCTAATTTCAAGACATATTTATTGAGATTTTTAAAAACTTGTGCCAAGGTGAAAAACAACACATATTTAGAAACAAAAGAAGTATACCGTGCACGTAAATATAGTTTAATTGGTGGAAAAAATGAACCGCAACTCAATCGACAAATAACACAAATACGGAAAAAAAAAAAAGAAACCCACCCTCGTATTTAGTCGAATAAAATTTAAATACTTCAATTAGAAAAAAAAAAAAAAAAAACTGTGTGCTAATAATCCATACTAACAACCTGCTAATCCTTATTAAGATGAAAAGTCAATTTGAATAGACAGAAAACAACAAACTTGTACCGTATATAATCTAATTAAGTACTCCAATTAACCTAAAGTGTTGAAAAATGCTAATCATTATTAGGTTTTGATTCATTTAATTTAATTTATTTATTTTATTTTATATTTATAAAAAGCTAATAAATACATTATATATATATATATATATATATTTTTTTGATGAATAACATTATATATATATATATATATATATACTATTATACGTATATATATATATATATGTGTGTGTGTATATATATATATACCGTCAACTGACATCCATGAGATATCCTCAGAAGTTCGTCAGCCCAATTTCTTCTCGCTCTTCTTCAATTCAATCCCCCTTTTTTCTCTCTCTGCCTTCCCTCTCTTGTTTTTCTTACACGGATGGATCCATTTCCGAATCTCTTCATCTAAATTTCCCCCCAATTTTTCTCTCCTCTCTCTCCTTAGATTCTTCACTTTCTCTCTCTTAATTTTTCAATTTTCAATTTTCCCCCAATTTTTTGTTCATACATTTCTGTACTCTGGAATAAATTATTTCCTCATCGATTTTTCTGTTTCGCTGATGAAAATAGAAAATCTGGGTTGCTATTATTCCCCACCTTCCTTGCTGTACCAGATATTGACTTTCTTCATCTAAAAGATGTCGAATTTCTTCCTCTTGGGGTTTCTGTAGTTTTTAATTTATTCCGTTTATTTATCCCAATCATCGAATAAGAAACCCAGACTTGGTTGATTTTTGTAATTTTTTTTTGCTGTTGTTGTTGTATATTTTGGTTGTAGGTCAGATTTTGGAAAGAGGAATTTTATTTTCTTCTAGGGGATTTTTTTTCTCGATCATTACCGTTTTGTTTAATGGGTTTGAAGTAGATCTAAAGGGCGTGGGCAGAAATTTGAGGCTTCTGATTGTTGGTTGAATATTTTTGATTTTTTGTACGTTTTGTTGTAATTGTAAAATAAAAAAAAAGGAACAATACCTTTTTAGGTTTTAATTAATCTGTAGCAAATCAATTATGGATCATGTTATTGGAGGCAAGTTCAAGCTGGGGAGGAAGATTGGTAGCGGATCTTTTGGAGAGCTTTATTTGGGTAATCTCATCGGCTATTTTTTATCTCATTTTTTTATTTGTAGGCAAAATGTATATAAATATTTATATATATGCTGTTTTAAATTTCATTCAGGAGTAAATATACAAACTGGAGAAGAAGTTGCTGTGAAGCTGGTGAGTAGACTTTTTTTGTCTTCGAATTGGATAATTGGATTAGGTGTACAATTCTTGAATGAGACTTATGTCCGGAATTTGATGATGCATATCGAATTGAACCCGTTATCTTGTCGGCATGTATTCATTTTGAATGTGTAGTATTTTGGTCCATCTAAGCGACAACTTTTTCTTCAGGAATCGGTTAAAACTAAGCACCCTCAGCTTCACTATGAATCGAAGTTATACATGCTTCTTCAAGGAGGAAGTGAGTACCACTATATTTGCATTATCTTGGTTATTATCTAGTTATCTACAGACACCTAATTAAATTAAACGATGTTCTTGTTTCTCATGTGAAGCTGGGATTCCGCACCTTAAATGGTTTGGAGTCGAAGGTGAGTACAACGCTATGGCTATTGATCTTCTTGGACCAAGCTTGGAAGATTTGTTCAACTATTGTAACAGGAAGTTGACACTGAAAACAGTTTTAATGCTTGCTGATCAATTAGTAAGTATGCCTGCGCTGTGAACGATTATTTTACATGGTTTGATTCTATAGCTGTTTTTACTTATTGCCATTTTTCGTATAGATAAATAGAGTCGAATACATGCACTCTAGAGGTTTTCTTCACCGGGATATAAAGCCTGATAACTTCTTAATGGGCTTGGGACGCAAAGCAAATCAGGTATTCTTTCTTTACTTATAGCATATGTTTCCGCACTTGGATTTTATGTTTGCTTGGCATTGACTTCATTTCCTAAGCTATTTGTAGCTGTGTTGATTACTTAAATTTGGAGGACATAACTATTGCCATGACATTGTCATCGGTTGTTACTTCTCTAATTGTTGAAATCTTCCAGTCAGCTTTGCTGATCAGAAGAACGTAAATTTTTATCTGCTTGAATTTGTTTGATTTTTCTTGTGGAAGAATTACTTATCATATATCCTCACTCCGCGTGTTATACCAGAATCTTAGTTAAGTTTATTGGAGCACATATCGCAGGCATGCGTACTCTCGTCAATCTCTATAGCAGAAATCAACTCTTTTTCT